AGTAAGATAGCCAAGCATACGATACAATGGGAATGTTACGACAGTCTATAAATAAAGATGATAGTTAATTAATAATTCGGTTATTATATCCGCAAGCATTGTAGAACGAGAAGCGTGTGTATAACTGTATTTATTTATGTGCACTTAACAGGGTCGTGCTATGTGGGAAGTAGATGTTCAAGATCATACACTTAAACAACAAGTGCAATCGTTTTGCGATAAATATACAGATTGTGAAAATTGACAAAAATAGCAAATGATATCAAAAACTATTAACAAAATAGGTTTCTTAGGCCTAACTGCACACTACCACCTACAAGTATACACAATCTTACATTTGCCTTATATGTAGCAGAATAACAATTAAATGAGTCCAAGAAAGAAAACCCATCCCCACGTATATTTACTGTTTGTCTCTGGGGATACGAATACCTAGAATAAATCCTTACAGTATATTCCGTATTTAGCTTTAAATACCACCGTTGCACAACATACAGAGCCATGATATTACATGGAGAATTATATTCAGATGAAGTCAACAAAGGTTAAGGTAATTGTGTAATTCAGTGAGCTATTTACATGTTTAACTTTGGTTTTGCAGACTAAGTATTTTCTTAACGACAGTGTTTACCTTAGTAAATTCATATTTGAGTTTTACTATACTTAACCAATCTCTATTTTTCTGACACAACAGCCAATGTATACGTTAATTTACTCCAACGTTTACACTTGCATACATGCTTGTACAACTTGAATGTCTTGTATGTGATTTTCAGCTACTACTCAGTAATCAGTTACTGTTATTATGATCAGTCAATGAGATGAAATCTCCTGGTTGTAAATAATTTATTTGATTTTTATTAACTATTGCTGAATATATGAAATAATTTATAAAAATACAAAATGTTCCATTATTACAATGATAAATTACAAGTTTTCATCATTAAAATTACAGTAGAGATAATTAAACGGTTGAATGATAACAGATAATGAGAACAATTTTGTGTTAGTATTAATTTTATACACAATACAATATTCTAATTATAATATACACAAATCTATACGGAAGACACATAATTAAAATGACTTATAATGAATATAATAGATTTATTATTATTATTAATGGTTTTATTCAATATTATTATTTTATTTTTATTTAAACACATATATATTGGTACAAAAGGGCACCAGGTATATATGCGACACACAAAATAATTTGTGTGTGGGCTGTGATACTGCCCAGGTGCCCAAACCGAAGCAGGCCGTTTTCTTAGGGGGCCACACCCCGAGCCTTTGACCAAAAGGTCTGATCCACAAGGCAGTGGAGCATCGTGAGGTGATGCAGTCCCATGGTAGCCGTTGACCAATGACAGGTTCGTCCGCCATTCGTTCCATCAGGATACTGGAGCCCATGTGCACCATTGGTTTGGAATCAGGGTTTTCCAACTCTTCTAGGTGGACTCTCCGTGTCCACCAACCCGGTTAAAGCGCCGGACATTCGCTTTTCGTCCTCTCACTTTCGTAAACAACACCCCCGCCACGAGAAGGCAGTGAGTAGGACTTCCCTGGCAGAGGCTATATATTCGCTGGCCATGTGAGAGCATTTCCAGAGGGAGAGTAGACTCTCCCCACTCTCGGCCTTACCAGGGCATTTGGAAGCATATTCAATATTATAATGTGGTACAATATAAAATTCTCAGCACCAGTTATTTCAACAAGTTTTTTTGCCAAAAAAACAAACAAAAAATACAGAAAAGGAATGAAAAAGATTTAAGAGAAACTGAGTTTAAACAAATTATCAAATTTGAAATATGCCTAAGAATACAGGTTATTTACTCGGTCTACTCTAACAGCCTGTTCGTCACAAAGTAAATTTACTAAGTAAGGTATTACAGAACTTTTATAGATTTGCTTGCGTGTATGGATTTTAATGTATTCACGCCTCGTTCTACCAGAAGATATACAAGGAGAAAGATATGAATGAAGTGGATGGTTAGTATCTGATAAGATAACACCTGCCAAGAGTTTGCAACACTTAAGATGTCTATCCACAAGCATATTAACAATGACTTCAAAAGATTCACCACATACCTTGCAAACCGCCTTCAGCATTCTACGCAAAATAGCAAAGTCTTTTCTCAAAAGCCCAGGAAAGAATAATGGAGAACAATATAAAATAATAGGTAATATGCAGGAATTTACAAATTGTAAGAGTAAATGGCGAGTAATCCCAAAAGCATGCAGCCTCTTTATGTAGTATGTCAAACGGTAAACTTTTTCGATAACAGTAAAACATGAGAAGACCAAGAGAGATCAGAGGAAAAAGTAACACCAAGATATTTGACCTTCGACACTGTGTGTATTAATGAGTCTCCAATGGCACAAGCATTATGGGATCCCAACATAGAGTATAGGTTCTGTCCATGTCTCAAGCTAAAATTAACAGCTTGACATTTAGATGGATTGAGTAAGAGACCATTACCAACAGACCACCTTTCAGTACGAGACAAAAACTCATTCATTTCTATAGGATGTAAGGAGGTAGAAATCGGCACACATACAGTGAGGTCGTCCGCATATTTTACAAAAGTGTTTTCTGTGGAAGATGGCAGGTTGTGCAGAAAGAAAAAGAAGAGCAGAGGTGAAAGAACAGCTCCTTGTGGCACACCTACAGTAGAGATATTGAACACTTTCCTTCAAATACGGTGTACTGTTCTCTTCCAGAAAGGTAGGAACGTAGTCAATTAGTTATCCAGCTGTCAGTGTCGTTGAGGATCAGCTTGTTAAGTAAGAGGTGTCTTGGAATAGAATCAAAAGCAGAAGTAAAGTCCAGGAAAACGCATCTAACATACTTCTTACCCTCTTCCAACCCGAACACTATATTGTGATGCAGAACAGCAACGGAATCTATGTGCTTCTTCTGATATGGACGACAGTGCTCTTTTATTGCAGGTTGAAGTGGTTGTATCAGTAATTTTTCCATTATTTTGAGGAAAGGTGAAGTTATTGCTATGGGTCTAAGTCTCACATTTTTATCACCAGATACTTTCTTTGGTATAAGGATTATTTTTATCTTTCTCCACATTTTCAGTAAGACATTAGTTGAGAAGGATCTGTTAAAGATATTCGTTAGTGGATAACATAAAACATCAGCACATTTTAAAAAAAAGGAGGTTTGGGATACCATCAGGTCCTAAACATTGGGATGAATTAAGTGACTGGAGACATTTTCGGACATCATTTTCAGTGAAACTGGGAACACAATCATTCTTCAGAGCCTTGGATACAGGGAGCATGATGTCAGATGACTGAATTATAAAGGACTTATTTAAGTCACAAACATTCAGCTGGTTATCACTTCTAGTCTGCCTGTCCCCTGTAATTTCTTTAAAGAGAGAGAGCTTTTACAAGATAGTTTTCGAGTAAACACAGAGTTGAGACGTCTAATCTCTTGGTTTATTTAAACTTCAGTAGTATTTTTCTCCTTGTACATCCTTTCTTTTACCCTCCGTAGTCGTTTTAGTTGTGGAGATGTAAGTCGATGAAAACTTAAAAAGAAGGGTTCGAAAGGACAGCAAATATCAAAACAGAATTTAAGATAACAGGTGATAACATCAGATGTGTTTTCTATTGAGTCATCTGTAAATATTTCCCAGTTGGTCGTACGAAACATGTTTTTTAGATTTTGTAAATTTTCTTCTGAGTAATTCCTGTATATTACTTTTTTGGTATGGTGTATGTGTGTGCTCTTTCCATGTCTACCATATACTTTAGGTAGAACACGAATTATACAGTGATCCGAGCTGGACAATGGAGCACGTTTGCGAGTCACATAGGTACCCACATCATTAATGAAAACCAAGTCTAGATGAGCATTTAAACGAGTAGGAAGATTTACTACATTTAGGTGACTTAGTGATGTAAGGAAGCTACAGTCACATGAATTGAAATCACCACATACAATTTAAAGTGAATCACTAAAGGCAGTAACTGCGAATTCAGTAAATTTATCAGCGAAGACAGATAGAGCAGATGATGTGCAGTCTGGAGTCATGTAGATATTGGTAACATAAATGTATTTGTATTTATTCAGGTGTTTTGGACGGGACCTTAAAGTTAGACAGTCAATAAAGTCATTTGAAAACTTGAAACAGGCAGAAGTAGATCGACACCAGTTAACGTTTACAAACGTAGCTATTCAGCCACCACACGTCTTTTTATTGTTTGATCGATCCTGACGATAGATATTAAAATCACGTAATGATACCAAGCAATCATCCTGTAAGTCAGTTAACCAAGATTCTTGAATTGTGATGACATCAGAATTACGATACATGTTTTGACTTGGCAGAAATTGCAGATAGTCCACCTTGTTAATTAGTGATCGACAGTTACAATTAAGCAGCTCTGGAATCGATATTTGGTTAATGTTCATTCTCTTGAATGCATATTGCCAACCACCACAATGTCTCTTATTGTACTTGTTTGTAATTTTTGCAGCGAAAGAACGTAAGCTTTTCATAAACACGCCTGTATAGGTTATGCGATCATTCGACATAATGACAAGTTGAAAAAAAACCCAGATAACAATGTTGAAATATTTAGATGGCAGAAACAGGTAGCCCAGGTATTCAAACAGGCCGATGTGTTTGATTGTTTCTTATCACATTTCATTTATATTCTTTAATATCTAATTATTTACACATTTTTTTTAATTATATTAGTTTAATAACATTAGTTAAGTGATTATCGTCGTAAATGTAAACGAGACCAAGTGATTATTATTTTAAAATCTGTTGAACTGATGTTTGATGTACATGGTATTATTGTAATGATTAATTAGAACTTATATTCTTCTTATTATTATTAACACTGTTATAATTGTCATTTTATTATCAATTTATAGTATAAACTTACTATTTCATTTTTATAGGTCAGTTAAATTGAATAAACAACTTTTCTATAAATTGATTTTTGTATAGACATAAGTACTTGTTCTAATATGAAAGAATTTATTTATTTAAACACATATATATTGGTACAAAAGGGCACCAGGTACATATGCGCCACACAAAATAATGAAAGTAGGAAGAGAAGGGATGAAAAGATAAGGCGGACTAAAATGTACAACCAGAAGACTCTTTCAAATAGGAAAGTAAGAACCATTCTTTATGTAGAAAGTAAAAGAAGGTTGCAGCAGGATCGCCACTGGCTTCTATTCTGAGCCATATCTGATAACGTCTCTAGCCACTGTGTTGCACCATCTCTCGGACCCCAACCAAGGAGTCGTGAAGGACCAACAGAAGCCAGCCCTTTGCAGCTTTCTTTCATGTCACGACACCATGTCATACACTGACCTCCTCTCCGCTTTTTCCAACCAGTCCCAGGGTCGGCAAATAATGCACGACGTGGAAGTCTCTGGGACGACATTCGTAAAACATGTCCAAGCCACCGAAGTCGGTGTTTCAAGATGGTGACACCAATTGAATTATCGTCTCTGTGCCCGAACACACGATGCCGAACCTCTGAATTACTAACATGGTGTTGCCACTGGATGTCAGCAATCCTTCAAAGACAACGATGATCGAACACAGAGAGACGTCTAACATCCTCAACTCGGAGAGGCCAGGTTTCACAAGCATAGAGCAAAACTGCTCTCACCGACGCGTTGTAAATCCGACTTTTTACAGCCAGACTAACATCACGAAGGCGCCAAAGATGGCCCAGATTGGCATAAGCCGCTCTGGCTTTCCTTATACGTGCATCAATCTCATCACTCACGCCACCACCAGCACTTATATAGCTACCTAGATACACGAACTTCTCAACTACTTCGATCTCCTCACCATCCAGGGTGAGTACAGGATGAGAATCCTGCCAGTCTTGTAGGAGTACCTTGCACTTGGAGGGTGCAAAGCACATACCGTACCTGCGGACACTGATTGCCAACTGATTAAGTGCTGATTGCATGCCTTGGGCATGCAATAAAATAACAAAAAAAATAACAAATACTTTCCACCATTATTCTTATTATAAAGTTAATAATCTCTTACATATAGAAACAACATAGAAACAGATAATTTTATGAACAAGGCTGTATGAATACTGATGAATGCATATTAAACAAATCCAATCCAATATATATATATATAATGATTAATGATTATGAAAAAGAACCTAATGTAAACTTGATTAAACAAATTAATTTGGATAAAATAAATAAGAATAACAATGCAATGATTGTCAATAAATATGCACAATAAGGATCTCTCTTTGTATTTCATTTAAAGATGATGTGTTTAAAAATATAAAAAAAAAAGAAAGAATTTATTGAATTCTAAAATAAAATAATTATTTCAATATTCATTTGAAAATTAAGTTTGATTAAAATATACGATCAGGAAATAGAGCTGGTGCAATTAATGTCCATACATAAATACTTAAACATACCCAACTGCTTACAATACGTACCCAAAAACCAGCTGAATTACTAACTAGTGTTTTCAAATCATTTTGTGGCTTTAACCAATTAGTAAGCATGACCATAACATATAATGTAGCTAGTAACATCATAAAATGATACATAAAATAATTATAAGCCACACCATTTTTTTCATTATCCCATACTTTTTGACCATCACGTCCATTGTCATCATCAGTACCAGAAAATTGTTCTGCTAAGGTTGTATCTTCTGTACCCTACAGAAGAAAGGCAACAGTATAAACAAAAACAAATTTTATTTCTTAAATTAACTGAAAGCAAACAGACGTAATGTTAAATTCACTTATTATTGTTTGTCTGAATCTTCCCATCGATGTGTTAGGACTACAACTGGTCAGTCTCTAATTGGCATATGTGGATACTGTGTGTATTGCCTCGATAAAGCCTTAATTCACAAGCATGGTAGGCAGAGAAGGATAGTGGCTAGCAGTGGAATCCAGGATGCGCGTTTCGCCCTATTCGGGACTCGTCAGCCGGATGTACCTGCATCCCATTGCACAAGCAAGTGACTATCAGGACTCAGTAGCTGAGTGGATAACGCGATGGAGCTTGAAGCGAAAGGTACTGTGTTCGAGTCTCAGAATGAACATCAACTCTGAAATGCAGGTACATCCAGCTGACGAGTCCCAAATAGGACGAAACGCGCACCCTGGATTCGACTGCTAGCCACTATCCATCTTTGCTTACGATTTTTTTAGTTTTTTTCGTTAACACCTACACTTTAACAAGGCTTTTGTGGAGACATGAGCACTTTGTTAATTTGTAAAATGGATGTTATTCGGTGCTATGGAAAGACAGTAATACTGCTTTTAAACGATAACCAGAAATAAAATTGGTATATATTTATAAGCATAAAAATAAGGTAAACACTCATGTTATTTATTTATTTATTTAAACACATAAATATTGGTACAATGAAGCACCAGATAAATATGCGCCTCACAAATCTCATTCGATTTGTGTGAGGGCTGTGATACTGCCCAGGTGCCCAGACTGAAGCAGGAAACACTCATGAGTCTAATGAAAATCTAAATATGACGCCATTTCTATTCTAGATTGTCTTATAGTGACTCGATACCCACACATTAAGTTGACACACAGAACGAGCTTGTCCTTCATCCTTTGAACTAAAATAGCAGTAGTCTGTAGAGAGTAATAACCCAATTGAATGATACCACATCATTCTAATTTATTTAGTACATGATAGATTAGTGACAGACTGTACAGACTAACACGTTTCCGGGATAACATGTTTAACATTCGAAGAATAAAGCAGACTTGCAAAAAGATAGACTAGTAGGTTTTTAACACTTGATACAGAAGTGACACAATATATATATAAGACAAAATATTTTATTGGGATTCAAGATTACTCGAGAACATTTAATGCTTAGTAGATAAGTAGAGATGTGAGTGTTAACGATTTTACCAAGACCAAGTAAAATTAAATTATAACATTGAATTAGATTTTACAGAATTGTACATAATAACTCATATTCACCAGAATCAATTATAGATGGTAATATAATATTGACTAGGTTTGTGAACTCATATGTTACGAAAATGATTTACGTCGTTACGTAGAGTTAAGTAATGATGATGGGGATGTCTAATGAAGGAAGTATAGTTGGGTCACCGTTAATATGGCCACTACCGGTACTACGTTGCTACCAGGCAGAAGTGTTGTGAGGTCTGAACATGTAACCTAATAGTTGAATGGCATGTTTTAATTTGATATCCTAAGCCTACTGGAAACTACCAGTACAATCGAATCACTCCAAAATCAGATAGTTAATCGAACACAATAACTCCATATAAGGATAAAGAATAAGAAATAAATGTAACTAAGGGCATTTTAACTACATTCATCATGAGCACGATTACTGGCAACCCGGAGTTCAAGAGTGGTAAAAAGGAATGTAAAGTAATGATTAAATGTTATAAAAATGTAGACTAACAATGCAATAGATAGTCTAGGTTATTTATTTAAGCACAAACATTGGTACATGGGGGCATCAGATATATATGCGCCACACAAAATAATCAGAATGGGAAGAGAAAAGGGGTAAGATGCGTATATATAAAAGAAAAAAAGAGAAGAGCAATGATGGGGGAAACTGAAGAAGATCTCTTTCAGTTAAGGAAATCATGACCACTCTTTATGAAGTAAAAGGTTGCAACAGGATCGCCATTGGCTTCTATTCTGAACCGTTTCTGATAACGTCTGTAGCCACTTTATTGCACCATCTCTAGGACCCCAACCACGGTCAGTCAGTCAGATACAATGTAGGACCAGGCACATACATGCATCGGTCCAAGTTGCCATACCTCGTTAGCATAACAAGATGAACACCGGATTCATAGAAGTAGTTAATTAAGTGGTGGTAGTATATAAAGAAAGGTTGTATATAAGGATACAATATAGGAAGGAAAAAGTTATGAAGCAATTTTAATCTCAAGGTTTAAGGGAAGATAAATAGTGTAAACACCTACGCCATTGTGATCGATTCTGAGCCATGTCACACAGAGTCTCCAACCATTGATTACGATGGTCACGCGGACCACAATCACGGAGTCATGACAGACCAACAGAAGCCAGTCCTGCACAGCTTTCTTTCATACCACGACACCATGTTATACACTGACCACCTCTCCGCTTTTTCCAACCAGTCCCAGAATCGGCAAATGATGCATGACGAGGAATTCTCTGGGACGACATTCGCAGAACATGTCCAAGCCATTGAAGTCAATGTTTCAAGATGGTGACACCAACTGACTTATCGTCACTGAGCCCGAACACATGATGCCGAACCTCTGAATTACTAACATGGTGTTACCACTGGAAGTCAGCAATCCTTCAAAGACAACGATGATCGAACAAAGAGAGTCGTCTAACATCCTCAACTTGGAGGGGCCAGGTTTCACAAACGTACAGCAAAACTGCTCTCCCCGACGAGTTGTAGATCCGACCTTCTACAGCCAGACTAACGTCACGAAGACGCTAAAGATGACTCAGATTGTATATGAAACTTTATCTCTCACTACACGTGAATTGATCTCACCAGTCACGCCAACACCAGCACTTATGCAGCTACATAGATACACGTACTTCTCAACTACTTCAATCTGCTCACCACCCAAGGTGAGTACCGGATTAGAATCCTATCAGTCTTGTAGGAGTATTTTGCACTTCGAAGGTGCAAAGCACAGACCATAATTACGGACACTGATTAAGTGCGGATTGCGTGGCTTGGGCATTATCACACAGTAAAACAATATCATCCGCATACTCTAGATCGGGAAGTCCTTCTCCAAACAACAGATCCACGCCGCCATTACCTAAATCCATCAGAGCTGTTTCCAGAATGTCGTCGATGGTAAACTTGAATAGGAATAGTGAGATTGGGCGACCCTGCCTAACCCCACTGCTTTAATGGAACAAGCGAGAAAGGTGGTTGTATGCCCTCAATCTGCCTGAGGTGTTCGTATACAGGGCCTTTAAGATGTTAATGAACTTCTCAGGCACACCCTTCTTCAATAGACAATCCCAGAGAACAGTCCTGTCCAACGAATCGAAGGTAGCCCTGATATCAAGAAGCACTACGATTGTTGGCCTGTGATAAATGTGACGGTGTTCTAACATCTGGCGGAGGGTGAAGATATGATCAATGCATCCTCAACACGAACGAAAACCAGCCTGCTCCTAGCAAGTCAATCGTTCTCGGGTTTTAAACAACCTACGAAAAAAGACAAGCCAATAGTTTGGACGCAATCGGAAGTAGACTTATCCCCCGATAGTTGTCACAGGAACAACGTGAACACTTTTTAGAGATAGGGACGACTATCGACTCATTCCATGATGTTGGAACACTTTCTAGCTCCCAAACCTTTGCAAACAACACAGTCAGTTCCTTGGTGTCGTACTAAGCGCTAGAGCTGAGGCAGCACTAATCGATTGGATCCCCATTAACAGTCGGTTATGTGCCGTTAGATTAGAAAGTTCCATCAAAGTGAGAAGAAATCGGTGTGAGAAACGATGACTTCTCGTCATCTCCACATATACCCCGACAGATTGCAGCCCGGATGCAATCATGAACTAATTCTACCACCAGCTAACTGTTCTTCTCCAGGAAGTACGTTCGGTAGATATTGTAGTACTAGCCAGAGACTTGAATGCACAAGTCGGGTGTCTAGGCACAGAAGAGAGTCGTCTAGGTGGCCGATGGGGACTTGTTGGTCGCAGGACAGATAACAGGGACCGTCTACTGCAACTGCGCACAGACCACAACCTGTTTCCGGTTAGCACTAACTTCCGACACAGTCATAGCCGATGTGCCACCTGGCGTCCTCCCTCTGCATCTCAAGCCTGGAATCAGATTGATCACATCGCGATCAGCTACCGCTGGCGTGGTTGTGTACAAGACTGCCGTTCCTTTTGGAGTACCTATCTGGACTCTGATCATGTCCGTGTTTGCGCCAATCTTACCTCACTTTTCAGTGGCCGAAGAATTGACCGCCACCAACGGATTGATGTTAGTAAACTGGCTGCAACTTCTGTTGCACGTAAGTATCGAGCCGAGATAGGTCTAAGGCTAGCTACCATCCCACCGAAAAGTATAGATGAGCATTGGTTGCAACTTCATGACGCCATGAAAATGGCGAGTAAAGTCGCTTGCGTCTTCGCGAAACGTCCCGCTTATAAGCACTGGGTTTCTTCTGGCTCCTTACAACTGATTGAAGCCCGTCGGTCTACTCCGGGTGACCATGAGTATGACCACAAACGAAGGCTGTTACGCAACGAAATTGGGCAAAGCTTGCGTAAGGACCGAGAAGCCTGGTGGTCGGAGCGTGCTAATGAGCTGGAAGCAGCAGCCGCATCTGGTAACTGCCGGAAGCTCTTCCAACTCATCCGAGCCACTAGCAGCAACAAGTCTAGTGTGAGTAAAACAATCTGTGAGGATGACGGGATGCCAATCACTAACATCTATCGACGTCTTGGACGATGGGTGGAATTCTTCGAAGGGCAGTTCAACTGGCCTGCTGCTCCGGCAACATCGACCAGATTGTCCTGCCCTCTATGACCGGTGAAGACTGATCCACCAAATGAAGCGGAAGTCCGCAAGGAACTCCAACTCTTGAAACGCTACAAATCGCTGGGTCCAGATGACTTACTTCCGGCTCTTTTCAAAGATGATGGTGACTTTCTGGCTAAGGAACTGACTGTGTTGTTTGCAAAGGTTTGGGAGCTAGAAAGTGTTCCAACATCATGGAATGAGTCGATAGCCGTTCTTATCTTTAAAAGGGGTTCACGTTGTATATTATTGGGCTAATATCCAAAAAGATTTAGAGAGCAAACAGAAAAATTCAGAAAACGAAGTAAATGGTATGTCGACTACTTGTGATCTAATCACGCAAGAATGATATACGACTAAAAGGCTGATGGACCAAAAATATGGTGATCGACATCTTGAAGTATACTTTAGTGGTTTATATAGAGTAAGATACAACTGCTATTAGTGGTTCACAGTTTACGGGCTTTTCGTGTGGAGCATATTTATCTAGTGTCCCTTTGTACCAATATGTATGTGTTTAAATAAATAAATAATATCTGAAAATATACATCCATTGGAAGGAACAAACGGTTGGAGTAGTTTGCGATTATAGGTAGAATAAAAAACAAGTAAACACGATGAAAACTTACAGAAATAAGGAACTTTCCAGCTGATGTTTTTGTACTAGATCTGAGGGTGGAGTAAAGGACAGAGAAAATGAGCACTATTATACCGATAGCAATATGCCTATCGAACTTCAAAACAACTGAACCATCCTGTGTACTTGTACTGTTTGTGATAATTAAAGATGGGTTGCATACTGGATCGTGACCATTTGTTAAACCAGACCATGTCAGGAAAGTTACATAAGCGGTAATGATCGAGGACTGAAAAAAACGGTGTTAAGTTACATTAAAACGATATACCATTGATAACAAGAATTTTTATCATCATCATCATAAAATATTTGGTAAAAGAACTATTTATTTTGAAATGTTCAACTGATTACGACAACTAGTAAAGAGAATATCTATCTATTTGGTATAAGGTACCAAAAATATATATGCGCCGCACAAAACATTTGATTTTCGTGAGGGCTGTGGTACTGCCCATGTGCCCAAACAAAAGCAGATGGTTTTCTTAAGGGGCCACTATCCGAGCCTTTGATCTAAAGGTCTAATCCACGAGGCACTGGAGCAACGTAATGAGATGCAGTTCCACAGTAGCGGGTAACCAACAATAGGTTCATACGCCATTTGTTCACTCACGATTCTGGAGCCCCTGTGGACCATTGGTTTGGAATCAGGGTTTTCCGACTCTCCTAGGTGGATCCTCAATATCCACCAACCCGGTTAAAGCACTGGACATTCGTTTTCCGTACTCTCAACTTCGTAAACAATACCCACACTGATAGAAGGCAGGGAGCAGGACTTCCCTGGCAATAGCTGTATACGCATGGCCATGTGAGAGCATTTCGAGAGGGCGAACTAACCCTTTCCATCCTCAGCCGTACTAGGGCGCAGGTGAGAAAGCCCCATTTCACAAATATGTAGTGTAAAGAAAACGTAAGTGTACGTACACTGAACATTAGCAAGTAGTCCATTAAGCGAGATATTAAACACTATTGTTTTAGGTTTCCAAGAAATGATACTTTTACACGAATGAGTTTGTGCTAGTCTACTTCAAACATTGTTTTTACTCGAAGATATTTATTTATTTGAACATAAAATATTGATACAAAGGGGCACCGAATAAATATGCACCACACAAGTCACATTATTTGTGCGTGGGCCGTGATACTGGCCGGGCGCCAGACCGAAGATATAACTGAGGAAAAAAGGGAGTTTTACGAACATTTTTAACTGTGACCAAACATCAAAGAGGTCAATGTATATTTCATAACACGCATAGAAGAACAATACTTCTAAATTATATCTCCATAAGGTTTTACTCTAATACATCACAGCCCTCACAAAAATCAAATGCTTTGTGTGACGCATATATTTTTTCGGTACCTCCTTGTACTAGTTTGTTCCAATAATAATAATAAAGCTTTGCTATAAAGGTCCTAGTCTGAGAATTGAAACTTGAAAATATGAAGTTGATATAAAGGTGGGACCATCGACCGATTTATAGGGGCCTGACTCACTCTTTGAGACTCTACAACCGCATCGACTAAGGTAGTTGAACTAAGTATCGCATGCTTCCAGCCTTTTCTTAGAGTACCATATTACTCAGGACCAACAGATGGAGAATGCAAGGTCTATATGATAAAAATAATGCATAATGAAGACGTCTGTTCATGTGAGTTTCTAAAGATAAAAACAGCGTACGATAATAGTTAGAAAATAGTCACCACATAAACATATGTTGGTATTTTGTTTTAAAATTATTTTGCCTTAAATTAATACTGCTCGTTTATCTTTACTTTATGACCATTCTTCGCATTTAGTCAACACAATTCTTGATAGTACAATAGAAAGAAGACTAGTAATTGTTAAACCAACAAGATAGGACAAAAAGAATGTTTTAGGTTTTAAATTGGACAAGAGCCGAACATATTTTGATAGGTCATGATGACTTTCAGCGCCGATAAAGTTCATTTACGAAAACCACACGTGTACATAAAGGGTTGACAGTTAATAACATCTGACTAGCCTAGTGTCTTGATTTAACTATTGTGAGATTTCTCCCACTTCACTTCACACAATACTGTAAATTGCAAGCGAAGCTAAATATATTATATGAAACATTACTTGTTTGCCCACATCACGTTTTTTTACCTATACCTTCTATATTTAATTGTTCAAGATAGCTGGTTTTATCACTTTCACGCTTTATCCTTATCTTAAATTCTCTTCACCACTGATAGAAAGTGTGACAATTCAGACTAGTACATGTTTTAAGTTTAATGTCACCTGTATATCCTTGTCTACGTAGAAGTTTATGTCTATAGTCAGCTAAACAAAAACATTATAGGTCATACGCCTGCTCAGTCACCCGATCTTCCATGATGAAAACTACGCCATGACTATGAAGTAAACAAATACTTTAATTGTTTTAGAGTTTACTAAGTATAGTGTAATATCATAGTTCAATATTCACCTCACCTGTAACAAACCAGACTGTGGCATATGTTCTTGCACCTTCGGTAAAATTGAAATAACTGATGCGATGAAGCAGAAAATAAGATTAAGACTGATTAAAGCCTTATTTAGTCCACATTGTGAAGCACTTGCGTAAAAGATAAACAAGAGTATAATCCCAGCGATCGACAATAAGTTAAAGAAAAAAGTGAAAAAGATCAGACCTAATGCATAACACTTTTCCCCACTTTCTTCATACTGTGTTAACCAGTTCTCATTCCATGTGTGAGCAAAATCCACAAGAAGAATTAACTGTATGACTATGTACAAACTCCCCCCAATCATTCCGACGTACATCCATAAATTTGTAAAACCTTCAACGGGTATGAAGAATGCACCAATCAATAAACTAAACCAACAAAGATACTTGAAGAACCAAAACCCATTTTGTAATTTCGCTCTCCAGTCCATGGATGAGTGGACCCGGATCATAATTACGCAGAATAAAAGATAAAACATAGTTGATGCGAAACAAATACGGTAAACAGCTCCAAAACCAGTAATGGCATCACAATTTAGAGAGGCTTTCTTCTCATCCGTGAATGGAAACAGCTTAAAAGGTGTACAAAGCGCAGGAATTTTAGTTAGATAATCCCTAACGTCAGGAATTAGAGCGATTACTGAAAGAAGGATCGTAAAAATAAGTATAATACTAAACATCATTCGTGAAGACGTCGAAGACCTGCAACTAGGTAAGCATGAACAGCACAAGCTAGCAGCAGAACTGCAAAAACAGCAAGCGACTGAACTTACAATACAACCCATCACAAGGAACGCAGAGAAAAAATAACTTTAAATCCTCTTAAATTTAAAGCCGATAGAGCTTAGGAACAAAAAATGTGTTCACCAGAAAACCGCACCAAATAGTCAACTCAAAAAGTTGATCAGGGGAAGTAACGTCACTGCCGAAGCTTCAACGTCCAATGACTTCTTGGAAAGTGTAAGTTCAGGCTAAATAATATTTAACTGACGTCTTCAAGTAAGACTTAAGTATTCGCGTTGCGACACAAAAACAGAAACCTTAAAATTAATCCAACATTAACTCAGATCTGTTAGAGTTTTCTCGGACCTGGCCCCAATATTTTCAAAGTTCGAGGTTCTTCTTAAAATAGTCGCTAGATCTACCTGGAATTTTGCAGCGATTTGAGGAAGTGCAATGAAATTCCAAAAGATAATCTAATAGTCTTTGTTGGGCTCGGAGTTTCTCCCAGGTCTCAACTGCGATTTTCGAGGGTCCCAAACCTATAATCACAATTTCCACTGACTTCAGAATAGTGCACTGATATATCTTTGAGATATCAGACAAGTCTCATTTTGAAAGGGACAGGAGGCTTGCTGGCCTGTGTTAGATGAATAAACTAACTCTAAGATTTTCTTTTGAAGATACGAAAGATGCTCAGAGTTTATCAACGGGCTTTCACGTTGTAGCTGTAAATAATTCCCTAAAATCAATAGCTTTGTAAGTGTTCGACATCTGATGCTGACCACATTCGTTTTAATGGACTCTTTTAGCTAAAGGCGCTCGGTCATGCATCCGTACCAGGTCACGTTACAGAACGGCGTGCGACACATCTCCTACGATCATTAGCCAGATTAGATCAGTCACTTCTCGATATATTGATAACCTATCAAATATATCTCCCAACCTCCTCGCTTGTGACTTGTGATATTAACCGGGTGGGCGTGATCCGATTATAGGTGTTACTGGTAAAGAGTTGTCAAACTACAATACTGGTGGTATCTTCAGTGGCGAGACGAACGTGATCTGGTACACCAAACCATAAACTGTGAGTCTGTTCCTTTTGAGAACTTCATAAATCATTGTTTTGCTTTATTTGACTTTTATATACTGTGATATATTTTTTCGAATTTTCGGATATATTTGAATTATTTATTTTTCGTTCATTATAATACTTGATTTTTCACTATGACGGAACAGACATCCAAAGTATTTAAGTTAAAGACTGTCCCCCACCCTTGATTCAGTTAATGCCTTTTTGGCCGAGCAATATGGAAGCCTGGTTCTGCTACGCAGGAGCCCACTTTTGCGGGCACAGCATTACGGACTCACGCACACGGTTCTACGCGGTTGTTAAAGCTCTGGCGCGCGAATTTAATAGGTACGTAACACCTAGTGTGTTTACTAGTGATGTTTCGGAAACTTACGGAACTTTTAAACGATCGATTCTGAGACGCGGAGATCTAACCGACCGACAAAGATTAGACCAACTCCTTAATAACAACGTCGTAGACGAACTGGCTGTTTCTGCTGACCGCATCCTCGAAATCATGAAATCTTCGAATGCCGAGGTTTTTTCAATCAAAGAAACAGCTCAAACGACCCAGAATGACATCGTCGAATTATATCATACACTGACACGCTATCTTCGATTTCGTAATGACCGTAAACAGTCACAAACCTCGTGCAGAAGCGTTTCACGTAGGCGATCTGTCTCTAGACCACGAGAGATGGATAACCCCGATTGGTGCTGGTATCATAACCAGTATGGGAAGTCTTCCAGAAATTGCAGGAAACCCTGCAATTACCCGAACTTCAAGTTGACCGACACAAAAAATTCGTGAAACTTCCCAGCCAGCAAGCGTTAACGGTAGCCATAGCCGGCGAACATAGCCGCCTTTTGTACGTCACGGACGTGACAACGAAAGTTCGCTACCTCGTCGACACTGGCGCAGAAGTTGTCATTCTTTCTGTGAATTCTAACCTCAGGCTTCACGAATCTGTTTTAAGCTTACAGGCTGCAAACGGAAAACCGATCACCACGTTTGGTAAAAGGTACGCCTACCTTAATGTGGGTTTACGCAAACCCATCCAATGGATTTTTGTGGTCGCAGATGTTTCTATGCCAATCGTTGGTATAGACCTGCTACAACACCACAATCTACTCGTCGACACACGCAAACGGAGGTTAGTAGACGGAAACACTAAGCTATCTGTTTGCGTAACTCCTTTTCCTGGTTGCAGATTGTTTCCAGTCACAATTAAGCACGCCATAGACCCATTTTATCAACCGTTACTGGATAGGTACTCCGGGATATATCAACCGCAATGGAAATTGCCATTTGTACCCAGCAATGTTACACATCATATCACGACTACAAGATCACATGTATTCTCAAAAGCGCGACTACTGGCTCCCGAAAAGCTTAGGTTTGCTAAAAACGAATTCGACCACATGATAGACTTAAGATCATTCGATCGTCAAATAGCCCATGGTCACCTCATTTGCATATGGTCCCTAAAAATGACCGCAAACGATTGGCGTCCAACTGCTGATTATCGGCGTCTGAATGCTCAAACCATTCCCGATCGTTACGCATTACCTCACATTCACGATTTGACAACTACCTTGAAAGTTTCAACTATCTTTTCGAAAATCGACTTGGCTAAAGCCTATAACCAAATTCCTATGGCTACTGACGATGTTCCAAAAACCGCTATCATAACTCCCTTCGGCCTCTACGAATTTTTACAAGTGCCTTTTGGTCTAAGGAATGCCGTCCAAAGGTTCACACATGACGTTTTCCGAGGTCTCAACTTCGTACATGCGCATGTTGATGACTATCTGATAGCAAATCCGGACAGAGAATCCCATCTCCAGCATCTGGAAATTGTTTTCGAACGGTTTCAAAGGCATGGCATTACTGTAAACATTCAGAAATGCCAAGTAGAAACCAACTTCTTATACTTCTTAGGACATACTATTGATGCTCAAGGCATCCACCCCCTGAGAAGCAAAGTGACGGCCATTCTCGATTACCCAAAACCAACCACGATTAAGCAGTTGCGCACATTTAACGGTCCTGTAAATTTCTATAGACAAAGTAAGGAAGTGAATGACTACTTGAGCTTCAGTGTTCTGACATTTACTTGTATGTTTTTGCTTAGCTCTTAGCCGATTAGCTTAAGTTGTTACACTCGCACGTCAGTACATCAGAGCACCGACAAGCGTCGCAGTTCCCGCATGAGTCGTACAAAAGTGGGTACACAATAGCTGATAACTTTCAACACTCTTTTCCAGATGGTCACAAGACTCTGAATCGAGGTATTACACCTTCTCAAATACAACATAGAGAACACCAACTCAATCACACTTGGTGGAGAAATTCTGGAGGATGTAGAAACGATCACGTACCTGGGAAGCATCATTGATAAACATTCCGACCCTTGCTGCTACCTTGACATGGTGGTGGGGCTTGCCTATCGTAATGAAGCAATCGAGCTATGATGTCTGGAACAATCGTTCCTCGAGGTCATATCATGCCAGACAGGTCGTTTGAAGAGCGGTAAGACTAAAAGCAGCAATCCCAAGGTCCGAAGGCGAAGTCGTACTGCCGACTGTACAGAGGTGTGACGGCAGTAAGGTGTTTCCTTCAGACAACCAGCATAACAGCAATGCTGCCTTCCTACAGGGAGGGATGGGGTTAGAAAAGGTCGACTCTAAAAATGCACACCTCGATTTATCACACGGATTTCCGTCTCCGGCGGTAAGGTCTTTTGAAGAACGTTGCTAACACGTCAAAAATCCCCCACAAAAAGGCCGTGCGTGACCGGCCTCAAGCAGTTGTCCCTTGGGCACTGCGTTCACGCTCCCAGGTCGTTTAGGCCAACACTAATCCAACTTCTTTTTCAGGTCCCTCAAGAAATACCCTTCCACGGTGTGGGCAGCCGCGAAGTGATACTAGCCCTCATACCCGTAACTGCACACGAGACCAAGTTGGTCACTTTCAAATCCTTCGTACACCTCCTAATAACTCTCTTATCTCCACGACTAACCCTTTCCCATGCCCTTTCATCTCCTCGCACCGCTAGGGCAAACGATTCAAGTACACGGAATGTTATTCCTGATCTCCTGAAACCACGCTCTAAACTACATATAAGAACTTTTAATGTCCGAACATTGTGCCAAATAGGACAACGGGCTTCCTTAGCTAGGACTCTAGAATCTTACACCGTCGCTGTATGCCGCGTCTCCGAAACGCGCATACAAGATCCGAGTAGTTTCATTCATTTGACCTCACCTAATCAAAATAAAGAACCATATCGATACACGCTTCGTGTATTTGGAAGCCCTGATGCTGTTTCCCGTGGCCTCTCTGGAGTAGGTGTGGCATTAAGTCCTAGGGCAGAACTAGCTTTTTTAGACTGGATCCCAGTAGTCAGTCGTCTATGCGCTGACTAAACGGATCAGTAAGGACTTAGAAAGATAGGGAAACTCGTCGTTGCCTCTTCGTCGTCTCTGCCTACTCTCCCACTGACTGCAGCTAAGACGATATAAAAGATGAGTTCTACAGGAAAATTTCTGACTTTCTCCGTAAAGCTAGGCGTTCTGATGTAGTAATAGTGGCAGGTGACTTCAATGCACAAGTATGTAAACTAAGTGAAAGGGAAAGACACTTGGGTGGATCTTATGGTGTCATGGCTAAAAAAACAGATAATGGTGACCGTCTGTTGCAGCCGTGCTCAGATAACGGCCTATTTCTTGCAAATACTAACTTTAAGCATAAGGAAAAACATCTTTTGACATGGCGACCCCCGAATTCGTCCCAACGCTGGACCCGATTCCATCACATCGCTATCAGCCACCGATGGAGGGGCTCGATAGAAGACTGTCGCTCATTCTGGAGCACATGACTAGACTCAGATCATGCTCCAGTGCGAGCACATATTTGTCTGCGTCTTACTGGACGTAGGAAAGACACTGCAGGGAAGCCTCTAAAGGTTATACCTAATGATAAGCAAGCTAAGAATATAACTCCCCCTGTAGCTCTTCTAGAGTTACTGCCGGTCCCAAGCCCGGGTAAAGGAGGAGGGTTGGGCATGGGGTTAGCGACCCCATCCCGTAGAAAAGCTAACTCGCTAAAAAAACGCTAACCAGAAAAAATAATTGAAACCATTTAAACTCTGCCCTCCAAGTTGAAGAAATAATTATGACGTCTCATGATGAAAGTTGAAATTCTTCGGAAGTCACGAAACCGATGCACCTTCTAACAACCAGAGCAACACTCTTTATAGGTACATGGAACGTCCGGACAATGTGGGAGACAGGAAAGACCAGTCA